AGTTCGTTGATCTATGGTTTAATAGGGTCAATCCATCATGAGTCCATTATATCAATAGGTTATCTATCGATATCCAAATTGATCGGCTACATTACTAATAGACAAAAAAAAAACTCTTATTGCATGTATGTAAAACTCGAACCCAAAATATTTAAACTCGCGTTCACACTATAAAAACTTATCGAATTCAATCGAATTTTAGTGGGATAATTTATTGCACAAAGAAGTAACTTTGTGTAAATTTTGAGCCCTTTTATACATGTGGGGCCCACGATGCATTACTAAGACCAAAAAATTCTAGTTACATGTGTGTAAAACTCGGACACAAAATTTTTAAACAAAACTTGTTAAATTTAGTTGAATTTTGTAGAAATGAATTATTATATAGAGAAGCAATTTTGTACAAATTTTTGAAACAATTATACGTGTGAAGTCATTTTGGGTTGAACCCCTTAAATCTAGGTTCTAATGATTTGATCCGTTTGATCCATTTATATTTTTGGAATGAGCCTAAAAATTCGTCAGGACAAATTTATGGATAGTTTTAGTGGATAAATGGATCGACCCTAACCATTCCCATCCCGAATTAGGCGCAAATCCAACATGGTTCTTCATAAAATTCCCAACAAATGAAACACACATGCTGCTCTCTCTCCAACTTCCCCGCTCACAGTTGGCCTACACCTCACCAGTTTCTCCAAAGCCATTGCTTCCTGCTTCCCTCTACATTGTAGCACCGATGAACTTGCACCTCATCCCTCCTCCGCACGACGGTGTTGACCACAACACCATTAATCTTCCTCATCATCAATAAAGTTCTTACGTGCCACCATCTTCCCCTATCTTGATGATAAAGACACTACACCATTGACCGCCTCCAAAAACTAGTTGTCATACCTTCCCTATTAGTATGTTGATTTTAGTTCACCATCCTCCTCTAGGCCACAACTTCAGATGAACCACCACTTTTATTAGACATGACTCTAAGCAAACTACTACCCTAACCATAAATTCCAAACCCAATAGGCCAATTTCTACGTATTGCCGTTGCAAAGAGGAGAAGGACGCTCTCATTGTAGAAAAGGGGAATGCTCTTCATCACCATTATTGCTAGAGTTTGAGCTCAAGGAAACTCTTCGGAAGGTGAATATTGGAGCATAGTCTAATGGTGAGAAATTTTAATACTAGGAGACTGAGAAAATAGCACTACTCAAATACTCATTGACTATTGCCTTGTTCTTATTTAGAGGAAGGAGTGTTTTTGCATCGAATGGACCTGCAACAACTAACTATATATAAAAAGTGATTTGTTTTCTATCATGATGGTATACATCGATTTTGTTGGCGTGAAAAGGATCATGGTGCTTGATGGTCCTTTTCACCTTACTCCCTCCGTCAAAAAAAAAAAAACTAACCTAGGACTGTATGTGACACATTCTAATACTATGAATCTGGACATACCTCTATCCAGATTCATTATACTATAATATGTCACATCCAGTGCTAGATTCACTTTTTTTTGGACGGATGGAGTACTCATCATCGTCATTACTTATGTTTTAATATATATTTTTTAAAATTCCATTGCAACATACAGGTATATGACAGAATAAGAAAGAGGACGAGTTAATTTATAACATATAAGTAGAATTCAAACTTCACCAGTGTGCCATATCCAGGGGCGGATCTACAGTACTATGGCCGGTGTCAGGCGACACCGACGACTTTCGGCAAAACTTATAGTAAAACTGCTTATCCATATGTTATAACACCATAATTCAAGCATAATTAGCATATCATGACACCGATAGACACGTTATGACACCAACGAATCGATTTTCTGGATCCGCCACTGGCCATATCATACAATCTATGTTTCCGCGGCTTGTACGTTGCAGAGCGCTGATGTTAACGTTACATCGGAGTATCTAATAGATTAATTTCCTCTTATATATTCGATGAAACCGTCACATATAGTTCCACGTACCGTCTCATAATCAATAGTGTGGATAGATAGAGATAACTAATTAAAGTTGATCAAAGCCTGCACGAGGGGGAGAGGAGCATATATAGCTGGCTCTACATGCAACAGCAGTGATCGAATGCACGACGGCAATGTAGCGTGCCCATGTGCTTTTCCCTAGCTGTCAAGCCTAACAAACTTCCATTGTTGGCTCGCCTTAATGCTTGGTTTCCGAAGGCACCACGAATCGGATGCCCCCTGATAGTGTGTGTGTACATCATTTGCTCCCTGGATCGTCAGTCTCCCGTACCTTCTCCTGTGTTATTGGGAGCTCCAAATTAAGATGCCTTTGCCTGCTATCTTGCGCCGATTAAACACGTGCGGAAAAACTCGATGTGCATACAGCATGTACAGATCGATCGAGTCCCAGCAATTGTGTGTGCCCCAGCTTTTGCAGTTGATCTCTCCGTGTGCATGGTGAATTGGTGATTGGTCAGGATCGGACGAGTGAGCCTGAGTTCTTCCGAGCTTTTTACTTAGCTATATATATATATATATATTCTCTTTTGTTGTGAGCATACTTTCCGGTTAATAAAAAGTGTTTTTTCAAAAAGAAAATCTCTATATATATACAAGGTTTAAAATTTTCAATCGAAATCTATTTTTAAGTTTTGTAGTTAATACTTAGGCAGTGACCGGGAAAAGCGGGTGTGCATGTGCTCAGGCGTGCAGCTGCTCTGCATCAGCTTCTTGGTGAGGTCCCAGTCGAAGATTGGGATAGCGGGGAGAGATAAATTGAGGATAAGGGAGAAAGAAGCCCTTTTGGAATTCATTGCTTGGCGATATGATGCATACGGCCGTAGTCTCTGCTTCACCCTGCAGCTTAGCTCTTGGGCACCCCTGAAAGGTACCCTTATGGTCCTCCCTAACCCACTCTTCCAATAGCTGATGATCATTCAAGTGGTGGTACATGCGTACGTAGTACATGACATGGTACATACGACCACTATAATTTCCGTACACCATTTTATCCATTCGCTAACTGATCTGCTTGGCACAGTCGTGTCTTGAAAATGAGTTAAGCTAACTAGGTTTTTTTCAGATAAGTAATGCATGCACAGGCGCAGTGAGCTCAATTATTATGCCCTTAGCCACAGGGCAATGCATGACTTTGCTAGTGACATGTAGACTGGATTGGATTGCAGGATGAAGTGTATACCGAATCTCTTGCAGCTATAGCTATGCAAGCCACCAGATTGGCACATCCCTGCTGCCAAGGGATTTGCTTGTCACGGCTCATCTCATCAGTAGTGATTCCACGTCCCCTCTCCACCGTACGCACGCAGGGGGCTATGCCCATGAGAGACATAGGGCTTATCTGGGGAGCTCGGAAATTTTGAGAAGCATCTGGTGTTGGTAGTCAGCTTCTGAGAATCTGGAAAAGCTGGGTTTCTCAGCTTTTGACTTTCTAGTTTATTTTCTGGATTCTACAACTACAACTTATTAAAATCTGGACCAAAAGTTATACTGTTTAGGTGAGCTTCTAATTTTAGGAGAAGCTGCAGCAGCTTGAATAAGCTCCCTAAACAGGCTCTAAAGCTAGCGTCAAAGGGAAGGCTGGAATGAGGACAAAGTGGCAACATGACTGCTTGCGACCCTAATCGGAGTTAGGTGCTGCTTTTCTCGTAAGCCTAGCTGGTTGTCATCTGGAACAGTAGCACAGTGCCGCTAGCTAGCTAGTGCCGTAGTGCGTGCGTGCGTGCGTGATCTGTGTGTGATTCTGTGAGGGTGAGGACAACACGGGAGAGGAGGAGGACCCGTCAGGTGACTAGCTAGCTCTGTAGCCGATGACTCCAAAGAAAAATGACAGGAACCAACCGGCACTTCAGCATGAGAAATCGAGATCATTCACGCGATGGAACGCGCGCGGTTGCGGTTGCGGTTTTGAAGAAGAGAACAAAAGGATGGCGTGCCGATTTCTTCTTGTGTTGACCTGTTTGTCCTTCGTCCTGTGTTGGAGGATTCTCTTTCTAAAAAACTGTGTTTTGTTACTGCTCTTTGTTACGACCGGAATTAACCGCACAATTCGGTGGGGATGTTGTTTGGTTCCTGTAGCTATGCTAGTCCAGACAAAAATCTGTGCCGACCTTATCGTCTCCGGAGCGGGACGGTAGCCCCCAAGCCTAGTCGGTCGGGCCCATCTTTTTTCTGTGCCTCTAGAGTTGTGGGCCGTGTTGTTTTTGGCAGTAATAAGTTCATTTAAGGTTACTTTACTTGATAACGAATTCGATTTTCACGAGAAAAGAGAGGTGAAGAGGCCCTGCATCTGAGGCCCACGGTTACTCAACATTGTTGACTTGGGTCAATTACTACCTGCTATACTATTATGAGACCTACATTGGATCGGTTTTAGCAATTAAGAGACTCGTTGTATATGGTATTTCGGTTGGAGGACGAAAATCGAACGTGCTGTCAAGTTAAGGAACCTACAATTAACTTACTTCTTTTGGGCAGGGTTTCCATTCCCGAGCCCGATTTAATATTAGCATATGGGCCACAATCGTGGTTAGCCCATCTGCCACTGGTGATGTGAGCAGTGGGCCGTTAACTGATGGGTCCAGTCGAGACCAAATCTGCACGGTATAACGAGAAGTCAATCACGTCCTTTTTTGGTACAAAATCTATGGGTCAAGAGTAAGGCACTCTTTGTTTAGGTTTATAAGCCAACTTATAAATCGAAAAATCTAAGTCTAAATAAACAAACGGCTTTTTCGTTTGGTTTTTTTAAAGTTATAAGCCACTCTAACACTATTAAGCTAAAAGCTAGGTTGGAGAAGCTTTTTTGGCTTATATAAGATAGATGTATGCCTTCATCACTAAACTTATGATATTAAATCCACCGGTTTATAAATCATATAAGCCGATAAGCTGACTTAAAAATCTAAGCCAATAAATCTAAGCCTAAACAAAGAGGGCTAAAGCGCACGACGCACGTTGCGTATGAGAATTGTTAGAGGACGTGATTGAGGAATTAGATAGAGGATTAAAATTTCAACAACAAGGGGATTTGGGGAGAGAGAACTCCTTCAGTCCTACCTTGTCTTCCATTTTTCACAAATCGCAAGCAAAGCCCCACACCAAAATCCACCCACGAAGGCCGAAGACGACGAGGCAAGGCAACGTCGGTGTTGTGAGGGGGACACACACAAACACTCGACCTTCGAGAGATTTCCGAGCGGCAGCAATGGATCTCTGGGAGAGGGCGCGGGCCTTCGCCGGGGAGGCGGCGAAGCGGTCGCAGGAGCTGTCGGCGGAGGCGGCCAAGCGCTCGTCGGCGCTGGTGTCGGAGACGGCGAAGAAGTCCAAGGAGATCTTCTCGGAGACCGCGACCAAGTCGCGGGAGATCGCGGCCGAGGCCACCAAGCAGGCCGACCTCCTCGCCGGCCAGATCAAGCGCCTCTCCACCGACCTCCCCGTCCCCTCCATCCCCGCGATCCCGCCCATCCCCACCGCCGTCGCGCCGGAGCCGGACGCCGCGGAGCTCGAGCGCTACGGCATCACCGAAGACCTCCGCGAGTTCGTCAAGGGCATGACTATCAGCACCTTCCGCGACTTCCCCTTGCAAGGTGCGGTGTTTTCATGGTTGGGTTTAGGGAATCCATGGTGGTGGATTTGTCTGATAGGATTTTTGGTTGCGCAGATGAGCCGGAGATGTCGGATGTGCCCACGGTATCGAACGTGCGTCAGGATCTGAATGAGTGGCAGGCCAGGCACGCCACTCTCGTCCTCTCCGCCGTCAAGGTTTGTCTCAGTGAACCATTTCTTCGTTGGTTATGCATGTGTGTCCATGGGGTATTGGGGTTTTGTGACACAATTGATAGATTAGTTATATGAACCCGTGTATAAGCCAGCACGCTGTATACAATTGTTTTGTTGGGTTTACTAATCTAATTAGATGCCTATATCGAGAGCACCGAAATGTATAGAATGCCGAGTTTATAATTTGTTTGGAATTCTAGAGGAAATTTCTCTTTGTCCATTCGCTGTTATTACAATGTTTTGAATAAATTGAATGCTGACTTATTAATGTCTGGGAAATGTCTAGCGTGGGTATTTGGGCTTGATATCCCATCCTTTCATATGAGCGAAGAAGTCATTAAGATAAATTTGTTAGGGTTGTCCTTGTGTCATGGAAAGGCAGATTTGCAGGTATATTCCCTTGCCGAATACCAAAATGGCAAGCTGTAAAGTTGGCTCCTATAGATAAGCTATCCTTTAAATATCACAATTTGAACTTAAATGTGGCTCCTAACATTGACTTGTCAAATATGGAAGTGATTAGAAGTTGCCTGGGATTGCTGCTTACAGAGAAGTATAGTTGATGTACCGCTATGTGGTAAGACTATGTTGTTTAAAATTGTGGCAGTAAACATATATTACCATGATTTGACTGTTAGTTGGCAAACTCCGTGTACTAACCTAACTTTAAAATCAGATAGCTGACTTATGTGGAGTTAGTCAAATCCGATTGCCTTCTTGTGCATCTTGCCTACTTCAGAAGGATGGTGATCCTGTTCTGAACTTTCTTATCACGATTAATTGCTTGTGTTTATTTTGAGTTACTAAATCATTAATCTAATAAAAAATCATTAATGCATGCTTCCATTAATATGCTGTTGTATGAATGTCTAATTATGTAGTTATCACGATTTATTAAATAGTGTTGTCTGATTTCCAGGAAATTTCAAAGTTCAGATATGAGTTGTGTCCACGATACATGAAAGAGCGTAAATTCTGGAGGGTTTATTTCTTGCTAGTAAACAACTACACATCCCTGTAAGTTTTCTTTCTTCTTAGCCCATGTTGCAATCCTTGCACAGAACTGTCAATCTTGTGCATGATAAGTTTATATAACTGATTGGTTGCAACCTATTTTATATGACTCCTAGCATTTTTGCAGAAGAGCATGTGTAATCATTAATCACACCATGATTGTTTTACACATCATATATAGCTCGGACAAATTCACTGTTCATAACAGATGTCCTAACAAAAAAGTCTGTTGCAGTCTACAACTTCAGTATATTGTTTGTCATTTATCCTAGTTGGCAGTCATCTCACTTGTTGAAGGAATGCAGAATCTTTAATCTGGGTTGATCTAGTTCTGATTCTTTCTTCTTCTTTTTTTGTTTTACCTTTCAATTACTTTGATGATGACTGGAAAAGTTGCAGTGATAGCTGAATTGAGTTCAATTGTTTGGTTGCTAATATTAGGATGCCTTCTTTTCTCAACTTCTGTGGTTTGGGAGTGAAAGTTTTTGTCTTCATTGTAAATTGGCAAGTGGCAAGATTGATCTGTCTTCACTGTACTAGTTAAATCATTTGTTAACTGATTGACTTGTTTGTAGCTATAATAGACAGTTGATTTGTAAATACTAGAACAGTATAATAGACAGTCTTGCACACTGACGTTGGTCACTCACAGACTTTAATGTAAACAAAACAGCTATGAGAACAAATATTTTGAGGAGCTGAAAGTAAAAGCAGAGGAGGAAAAAATGGATGCCAAGAAGGAAGTAACAGAGACCTCACAAGCTACAACTGCAGAACATAAAGACATGAAGGTGCAAAGCAAGACTTCAACTTCAACAAATCCAGAGCATGATTTGGATGTTTTCCTTCTGGGAGATCTAGGCAGTGATGATGAGGGTCCTGGTATGCTATTCATTTTCCAAAACTGATGCATCAATTGATTTGCTTACTGATTCTGCAGTTATTTTATATGATTTTTTTTTCATTTGCTTACTTCTAGATGGTGATGATGATGGGTTAGATGATGACTTCGATAAGATAGATGGCACTTCAGTAAGTTCCCTGCTCCCTTGAAATAGATGTTTGCTACAGAATTTAAGATGGCGTATATTTGTTGTTTCATACATAACAGAATGTAGCTTGGTATGTGGACATATATTATTGGAAATATAGTAAATTGTACATTGGGAAGTTCTCATTATCCTGCCAATGCATGGCCGTATACTATCAGCCGTTAGTCAAGTGTGTTCATGACCAGCCAAAATCTTCGCAGCTGTTTGGTTTGTGCTGACAGCACAACATCTTGCTTTTGCAGGGCTTAGAGAGTGATGATGATGATGACAAGGAAAAAGCAGCAGGCAAGGCAGAAAGTGCAAAGGAGTAGCTTGCAGAGCTGGTGATCAATATGATATGAAGTGCTTTCCCAGATCTACACATGCTTATCATGACAACGAAGGCTCTAGCACGCAGCTTACTGCACTAGTCCAGCTGCTATTGTATAATAGATGGTTGCATCTATCCATTCATTTTTCTCCCACTGAAGCAATGCTGCTTTCGTTGTTGCATTTTTCTTGTCCAAGATTTAGAAGGCTCTATTGTTTTTCCGTTTTCTGGAGCCATCTAGGGTGCTTTGCATATGCCAATATACTTCAGAAAAATCTTGACTCTCTGTCTCTATCTTAAATTAGCCCCAAAATTTCTTCTCACGTATAATAAATTTCCCTGTGTGTAGGTAGCTCTCTACATTTATAGGCCTAGACCTTTGTGTTGCATACATAACCTGGAATCCTTGATCCTGAATAGTTCCAACATGAACCAGTCCCAGACAGTGTTGCATTCATAACACATCGGTAATTCTTGATCCTGAATCTTCTAACATGGCTGAAGACATACTGTGCTCCATTCATAAATCATATCCGAAATTATGGACGCATTCATAATATGAAATTCTTGATCCTGAATTGTTCCAACATAAACCAGCCCCAGCCACTGTGTTGCATTCACAATACATTGGCAATTCTTAAATCGTTATGACATTGCTGAAGAGATACTGTGCCCATTCAAACGAGAAATCCGAACCCATTCAAAATCTGGAAGTCTGGATCCGATTAATTATCTAAATTCGGAAACAGGAATGTTGACCATTTGTAATTAGTGATCCAAGTTGCATATACTATTATTATTCAACCATTTACTGAAACAATTAGCAATTAGGGATTGAGGGTCGGCCGTAGCGAGCCAACCCTATCTATTTCCACAAATTATGCCGGCCATATGTCTTGATAGCCATACAGCACCCATGGATGTATGGATGTGGCATACATAGCCAACCGACCCTTTTTAACTTCAACCCAACTCATCCCGCTCATATTTGTAGCCTCCCCTCGACCGCGCTCGCGCACAACTCCCCGAGGTGGTATTATTCGGAGCCGCCCTTCGCTGAATCGCTGCGCTCGGCTCGCGCGGGTGCGCGGGTGCTGCTTCTGGGCCACCCCAGCAAGCAGCCCAGCCCAAATACGGCTCATAAAATAACGGCCCTGCTCCCCTGCGATAATTCAAAGTACCGTGTATGTTGTTATTCTTCCTCTTAAGAAAAAGAGAGAGAGAACATGTTCGTCCTTGGAAAAAAAATACTAATATTCCGTATGCTTGTTACTGCAAAGCAGAGATACAGTGTACTAATACGTCAGTACAACGTACGTGAAAGTATAACGTAGATTTGTCTAGTTCACGTGCCCTTGGAATTTGGAAGCGGTTCAATCCCATCCAGCTAGTGGTACACACGCGGCGCTGTTTCTCTGTTTCTGCTCTGGACACAAAGGACTCCCCCAAGTGGGCGCGAGTGTGGACAACTCGTGATCCCTCAACATTCAAACAGTAAAAAAAAAGACAAAAAAAAAACAAGGAGGAAAAATGATACCCGGGTGGGGGGGGGGGGGGGGGTCCATAGATCCATCATCCATTGGCTCCACGCAGATCCTGCTGAACTTCTGTTTGCCCTTCATTGTTTCCTGTTGCATTCCAGCTGATGCTACTACCATCTGAAGGAACCTGAAATTGAGCTGGACGCATTCACATGCTGTCACAGACTCAACAGTTTGGTTGACCCGCATATTATCCATCCATGATCCATGATACTACTGCTAGAACAATCAGTCAGGTGCATGATTAATTCTTTGCCGAATTTCATTCCGGCATGTTGTACAGACATTAATTCCTTTGTTTAGAGGGAACTTGGGCGTCACATTATTCGCGTTATAGTGGCAGCATCAGTGTGATCTGTCACCTACCTTGTATTTTTAAAGCACCGGGACGCTGTGCATGTGAAACCAGCCTAGAGCGCCGGCCGCGGGACGTCGAGCCGAGCTGTATTTGCTTCGGAGAACAAAATCTTGCGCACTTGGGACCCAGATTGGCTTCGAAAGTGATCGCAAAGTCCAATTCGAAGTCTTGTGATTGATCGCCAATGATTTATCAGCATATGGTCCATCGAACAAAGTCGGAAGACACTGTATGAGACGAAGAACTAATAACAGAAGGGATCAATCAGCTACGAGAATTCAGAGGATTCCGTCCTCCTTTTTTAATCCAAAACCAGTTCTGGAAATCGTAGCAAGATGAGCCTGTAACTACAAGGATAAGGAATGTTTTCATTCAAAGACCAATCGACTGCATTTTTTTTTTTGCTTTCCTGGTAAATGGATTTGTTCCATGTCGTCGCACATACAAATTCCTAATCCTACAAGGTTAGCTCCAAATCCCATTGTCTCGACTCTCGAGGCACATGACGTCTGACGAGAGCTCGGTGACTTATAGCAACACGTGACCATAAAACTAACTCATTCTCCTGCCATGTGGGCCCGCGATCCAACGGCGTCCGCGGGCCGCACAGCCCAGCCAGGCAGCCACACCGCTCACGTGCAACCGCCCCCTCCAAGACGGCGCCCGCTGACCCCACAGCCCACCATCCGGACCGTCCGCTCGTCCCCATCCCCGCCATCCCGCGCCGTCCACGTGTACAGCAACCGCCTCGTGTGCATTCCACCGGTGCCGCCTAACCGCGTCTCCCGCCGGTTACTCGGACACGTCGTCCCCCGCCCGCCGAATATTACCATCACCGACGCGAGGGCCGAAAATAACTTCACGCTCCCCCCCACGATTCGCTCCTCCTCACGCTCGCGACGCCCACCACCACCGCCGAGATCCACCCGCCGGCGGCGCCGCCGCAACTGCCACTCTCCCTCCGGCGTGGTGCTCCGACGGAGGCGGTGTGTGTGGTGTGGGTGGGTGACTTGCCGGGGTTTGCTTGCCAAAGATTCGGTCGCCCAGTTTAAGGAAGGTGATAAGGCTGGGCGGGGCAATAACTGCTCGATTTGCCGCCGCTTCATTGCTCGGCGAGGTTGCGGGCGGGGGGGGGGGGGGGGGGATTCTTGCCATTTCTCGCCGATTCGGAGCCCGCATTGGATGCCGGAGATCGCGTCCTTATAGCTGGGTGGGGGGAGGCGAGCTTGGTTGGCCCGAGGTGGCGTCTCACGGAGGCAGGTGCTGTGTGCGCGAGGAGGAGAATTTCGCCGAGCTGTGTTGAGTGGTGGCGAGGCGATTCCCCCCGCGCGGGAGTTCGTGGTGGAATTTTGACGTGCGCGAGGCGAGATGCTTGTTGGGAGGCAATAATAGGGTACTGAATTCGCCGGTCCACGCTCGATGGGGTGGAAGGCGACGATGGGTGGTGTCAAGGTGGCCGGCGGTGGCGGCGGCGTGGAGAAGGTCAGGTGCCCGTCGGTGGCCGCGGTGGCGCGGTCGCGGATGAGGCCGTGGGTTCTGCGCGCCACCACGACGGTGCTGCTTTGGACCTGCGTCATGCAGCTCACGGCCGTCGGGGAGAGGTGGGGGCCGCGCGTCCTCAAGGGGTGGCCGTCGTGCCGGACGGCGCAGGAGGCGGCCTCCGCCGCGCTCGCCGCCACGCGGCTCCCAATGCCGGTACCCGTCGTGGAGAAGGCCCCATTGCCGCCGAAAAGTGAGTATCCCCACTACCCTGCTTTCGCATGCTCGTTCTTGGAAACTGCCAATCTGCCATGGATTCGTAGATTGCTGCATGATGCATACGGTTTTCTCAATCAATCCCCTTATACCAGCTAATGTTTTTTTGCCGTTGTATTTGCGCCGGATTGGGAAAATGCAGCCGCTCGTTTTGATGAATTATGCCGTGTTTTGGGTTGTTTTCATGTTAACATCATACAAAATTTTTGGTGCGCTTGGATGCTGTGGAATTAAACGAAAACTCATGTTTTTCAATGGAAATTTTCTAAAAGAACAATTTTCCCGTATTTTCGAAAATTTATATTAATTCCCCCAAAAGATGTGCTGTAGTTTGACATTCTAGTCTATGGCCATTGTGACGGAATGGAAAGGAACATGTACCTACATTTGGTGGCTCAAGCACGATAATTATGTGTTAGCCTTTTCCTTTTCGGTACCAATTGTAGTGCATTTAGGAACTCACATGGGTGACCACAACATTAGCTGCTCATTTAAGAGCTTGATCTAGCTTTTTGTAGAAACTACTATGCGACTATAATGATAGTACAGTTTGACGATTTTCTCTACTTCTGGAGACTATTGGTCTGTTCATGCAACAAACTTTGATCGAACTTAATGTTAGTTATGGATAATCCGTTAATCCTACTTTTACTTTAACAAAGCGAGGGGTGTACGTATTTTGTTCACTCTTTGCAAGTAGTTGAATGAACGGTTTGATTGGCCTTGCCCGTTAATTATTTTTCCTACTGTAAGTTTGCCACTTAAGGAATCTCAATTGGAATTCAATCTGTACTTGGTAAAAAGTAATGTGGTATAATTCTGCTCGATGTATATAGTATGCTTGCATGCTAGTAGTTGTCCTGCTTTTTTGCTTTCCTAATCTGTTTCCATTTTCTGCTTAGGAATTTATAGGAACAACGGTTATCTGATGGTTTCATGCAATGGTGGACTCAACCAAATGCGAGCAGCTGTAAGCATTTAACATTTTATCATTTAGTTAAATTACACCACTCAATTATGTTTAGCATTTAACAAAACGTGCTATTTCATGTTTACCCAGATATGTGATATGGTTGTCATTGCAAGATACTTGAATGTGACTCTAATAGTGCCCGAGTTGGATAAGACATCATTTTGGAATGATCCAAGGTGCATTTTCTGTTTTGGTATTATTTTACGTTTGCCTGCATCTTTCTGACCTGTATACTAATTTATGACCATATACTTAATCAAACTTTCTTTAATTTTCCTTTTAGTGAGTTCCAAGATATATTTGATGTTGAACACTTTATAACATCTCTGAGAGATGAGGTTCGTATTCTTAGAGAGTTGCCACCAAGGGTAAAGCGAAGAGTGGAACTTGGAATGTTCCACTCAATGCCACCTATTAGCTGGTCTGATATCTCTTATTACCGTAACAAGGTTAGATGTCTATTTCACTATTTGCCCTTCAATTCTACTTTGAGTGAAAAAAAGGGTATTGAATTTAAATTCACTTTGTACAGATACTTCCTTTAATTCGGAAGCACAAGGTTCTTCATCTGAACAGAACTGATGCTAGGCTAGCAAATAACGGACTACCGCTCGATGTCCAAAAGTTGCGTTGCCGAGTTAACTTCGGTTCACTGAAGTTCACTTCCGATATTGAAGAGTTAGGCAGGAGAGTGATTAGATTGCTTCGCCAAAATGGCCCCTTTTTGGTCCTTCATTTACGATATGAAATGGATATGCTGGCTTTCTCTGGCTGTACTGAAGGCTGCACTCGTGAAGAGGCAGATGAGCTCACAAGAATGAGGTAAAAAATTGCTGGTTTTCAAACTATCAATTCGAGATCATTTCATTCTTGCATATTGTTTTTTTTTAGCCGTCACATAATACAGCTGAGTTACTCATAATCTCAGATATGCTTATCCATGGTGGAAAGAGAAAGTAATAAACTCCTATGCAAAAAGAAAAGATGGCCTTTGCCCTTTGACACCAGAGGAGATTGCTCTTGTCCTCAGAGCCTTGGACATTGACAGAAGTATGCAGATATACATTGCAGCTGGAGAAATATATGGTGGAAAGCGTAGAATGGCTGCTCTTACTTCAGCGTATCCCAACGTGGTATGGACCAAATTGTGCACATGTATCTTTGATGGCATCACTGGTATCATTACTCTGCAGACTGCAGATCTCTTTTTCCATTTTGCTGATGTGTGTTCTTATAATTGATGCTCTAGGTGAGAAAGGAGACACTTTTGCAACCTTCCGATCTCATGTTCTTCCAGAACCATTCGTCACAAATGGCAGCTCTGGATTACTTGGTATCACTGGAAAGTGATATATTTGTTCCAACATATGATGGTAATATGGCTAAAGTTGTTGAGGGACACCGCAGGTATATTTTGTACTTGATCACACCTCTGCATTCTAAGTACAGTACTATATTCCTACATTGTCCTTTTGAACCTGGACATTCTAATAGTCATAGAATGTAAACCGAATGGGAGGACTTTATGCAATGTTAAACAATTTCTTTTCTTTAGAGGTAAAGCTGATTGATTATTTTTCTGTTACAGGTTCATGGGTTTTAAGAAAACAATCTTATTGGATCGAAAACTCATTGTTGAGCTGGTCGACCAGTATAATAGTGGTTCTATGCTGTGGGATGAATTCTCTTCACTAATCAAGTCTGTCCACGCAAACCGAATGGGAGCAGCTTCAAAAAGGACAGTGATTCATGACAAACCGAAGGAAGAGGACTACTTCTATGCTAACCCTCAAGAGTGCTTGCGAGATCCCAATCTTTTACGGACATCATGATATTTTTAATAGCGCAATTGCGCGAGTATACTTATTACCATTACACGTTTACAGCATAGCTGAACTTGTTTCTTCCGAGCTGACTCAAATGGCTCGGCATTTTCAGTTCAGAACTTCAGGTTGGGCCATTGACAAGGGAGTTTGGATGGAAGCTGAAAGAAAGGATGATACAATTGTGAGCTTGTGACTACTTAACTCAAATGTAGTTGGTACATAGACGTTACATGTTGGGGAATTGGGGATGTTAGGTTTCCTAATTACGCCGATTAAGAGAAGATATTCATGTATAGATGGGGGCGGGTTAGTGGATAAGTTAGTTCAACAGAACGTTACCGATCATGGTTCATGAAGGAAATTGTTATATATCAGGTTTTTCATACTTTGTGCAGACATTACTGCTCTTGCATCTTGAATTTCTCTCCGTCTCCTGAAGTTTTACCATGTAGTACTACCAACTGTTTCAGCAGTCTGAACAGATGCTGCTGGTTGTTGGGTGTATATATGCTCTGATTGTGTATTATAGAACACCAGAATGCACGGTGATGTATCATTTTTTTTACCACGGCTGTGCTGTGGTGGTGTATCGAAGTAATACATGCCTCTACTTGTTAACGTGCGAGTCAGTGCATCTTGTTTTCAGTGGCGATTAAGATAGGATTAGCACTGATCCAAGAGCGACCCAGCAGTTAAGTGGTCTTGTCCTACTCGTTATCGTCTCATCGATCGTTGGAGCACTCAGCTCGAAATGCAGTGAACCACCGCGAGAATAGCCGCTAGAGATGCGCGCGAATCTGGCACGGAGCGCGCGGCCGAGCCGAGCCGAGCCCATCCCACAGTGCACGGGGTTGAGTGCCTCGTCGTCTCCACTTCGTTGCCGATCTCTACTCGTCAACGCGCGCGAGGGACTCGACGTGCAACCGATCCCTAGGCGATCGCTCTGCTAGACTGCTACGTTCGAGCTCGTGCATATGCGCCTGGTTTTGTGCGATGGATTGGAGGATTAACGTTGACGCAAGAGCCATCTTGGGATCGAGTTTAATTTAATTTTACTAGTGCTCCATTCGACGGGAAACGTGCCAGTAGGAGGCAATGGGGATGAGATTGATGAATTTTCATATGGCAGTATGAGGCAATGGTAGATCCGCAAGCTGCATAGCTCGTGTAATTAGTAAACCATGCTGGTAGATTTGTAGTCTGCTTTTGTGCTAGTGAAGCAGTCAGTCAGGTAACTCTCGGGTGTGGAACGGAGGGAAGATTAACGTGCCACGCTGCTGCAGGCTGCAGCTGTTCTCCCCTTTCTTTTACAGGACCATCCAAATCCATTAAACGAAAATCACACATTATTACAGTTCGTACAACGAAAATCACTCCATTTCCTTGTGTGTGTCAGATCGCTGCCAGCCAATTGTCAAGTGCCAACGGCTGAACGACACACTACGGGCATTACGGGCCGCGCGCGCGGAGTTCAGCTTGAGAGGCGTACAACGCCTTAGCCCATTACGAAATCGCGATGCATATGGTACGACGAAAGCCTGGTAGCCCACGCAGGAAAACCGGCAAAACGCGTCTCAGACGAGGCCCAAACAGTACGCCTGATCCTTTCGGCCCAGTGAACAGCACGGCGCCGCAAGCTTTGGCCCATCTAATGCTCTTCCTGCCTGCCGCGGCGCCCTCGCCGTTGCCCTCCCGCACCAGGCACCACCAACCAATCTCCTCGTCTCCCACTCGGCCACATGCCCCACATCCCACCGAAATCTGGAAAAATCTCCACGCTCCCAACCCCGCTTCGCCTTCGCCCCGGTGGCCGCAGCCGCGCGGCGCCACTGCCCCCCAACCAGCCAAACTCCCCCACCTCACGGCACTGCACCCGCAAAAATCTCAGCTCCCACCCGCCGCGCCGCGCCGCGCCGCGCTGCTCCCCCAACCAAATCCCTTCTCCATGGCATCCGCCGTTTCGCTCCTCCTCCTCTCGTCCCCGCGCCCGCTCCGCCGCGCGGCGCCGGTGCCAGCGCTACGCTCCCAGGCGCGCCACCCCTTGCTCCTCGGCCACGCGGGCGAGACCGCGCTCGGGGTATGGGCCACGCGCGCCCGCCTGCCCGCGCCGCCGCCGCGCGCCTCCAACCCGAACAACGACAACGACAACAGCGGCGCCGTGGAGGCGCCCGACCGCCTGGTGGCCGCCGTCGCCTACCTCTACCCGTTCCTCGACGGCGTGCACCACGGCCGCTTCCTCCTCGCGCAGTTCCCGCTCTTCAGCACCCTGCTCAGCCCGCTCGCGCCGGCCGCGCGCCTCTTCCGCTCCTCCCCGCTCACGCCCTTCCTCCTCTTCCTCACCCTCTACTTCGCCGTCGTGCGCAACCAGCAGGCCTTCTCCCGCTTCGTCCGCTTCAACGCCATGCAGGCCGTCGCGCTCGACGTGCTGCTCATCTTCCCCGACCTCCTCGTGCAGTCCTTCGCGCCCTCCACCGGTGGCGGGATCGGCTTCGAGCTCTTCCAGAGTATGGAGAGCACCGTGTTCCTCTTCCTGCTCGTCTGCCTAGTCTACGGCGGGGGCGCGTGCCTGCTAGGGAAGACGCCGCGGCTGCCAATCGTCGCAGATGCAGCCGAGCGCCAGGTGATGTGATGAGCTTTTGTCAAATCTTGCTGGTGAAAAGGAACAAAGGAAAATGATATACACATCCATCTCGATGCCTCATTGATGTTAGTAGATCGCAAATTCACAAGTTCAGTTTAGTACAGTGATTATTTACAGCTGTAGTAACCAATTTAATGAATGGAGTTACGGAAGGTTGGTACAATGGCATTACAAAATTTACAATCAAGTGTATGAACGAATGAGTTGAATTGGGAATTTTTAGAGATAGCAATACATATACTCGCTATAGAATATGGAATTCTGGACTACATTTACAGATGATGAATGAGAAATTGGGGAGTGTCCTCAAGACCTCCCCTGAAGGAGCTTCAATGGTATATGAATGGATGCTTAGGTTAGTTAATTGTTGTTGCAATATAAATAAAATAATTGCATCAATTGGGGATTGTGGTTGCTGCTACCAAGTTATTGTCTGAACTTGATGATGTCTGAATTTTCTAGTTTGGAGAAAAAGTTCTAGCTTTTATTGCACCGCCTCTTGGTTATTTGGATGGGCTCTTCATCTTCATTGATCTGTGATGTGAAGTCAGGACAAAGGTACAAAATAATTATTAAGCAGACGATCTATATGTTCAAACATCATGAATAAATCAACTTTGTAAAGCTCTATACCTTTGAGTTGTCACTAGTATTATCTCTTGCTCGTTTGGCCAGGTTGATCTCTACAGCTATATTAGCTTGAGATGGATCTAGTCCTGACTTTTTAAGAGCTTCTGTCAATCTGTTGAATAATCTGTTGCAAATTGAAGTAGTATCCTGTTAGTTACATATTGTGCTAACTTTAGTCTTGAAGTAACAAATGGTTAAGGAACAGACCCTTGAGAGTAAGCGCTAGAAATACTATGGTTTTCATCGTGAAGGGTCTGTTTCTCATGCTTGTTCGGCATTTTGTTGCCTGGTTCAGACTCTTGGCGCATTGTTGACATGCTCAGCCATGGTGGCTGATTGCTGGGTGTGCTGTTCTCTGCGTTTAAAAGACATTAAAGTTAGTGGATCTAGTTCTTAATTACAAGAATTCTGACTGTTGAAAGGTGATAAGAAATGGACTTACTTTCCAAATTTTGTGGTGTGCCTGTTGCCATGTGGGAGGAACTGGTGGTTGTACTGGTTACACTCTGTGTGTTGAAGAGAGCAGGTTGTGCTGCCGATATGTGCTTGGGACCGTACTGTTCGTTGTTCATGTCCTGTGTGGATGGTGACAAATCTTCCCCCTGGACTTGACTGGTGTTCTGTGAGACCATGAACAAGAAACAAGGATGGGTACATATCATTGGTATATGATTATGATGAATTGTGCATTCGCTTTCAGTTGCTGTTTTTATTTTACGGAATTACCTTTGTGTTTCTCCAGCATGATCTATAGTAGACTTTTGCCTACCAAGAAAAAAAAATAGAGGGTGAATACTGTTGCACAATTATGTCATGAACATGCTAACATGGCTATGATAGTACCCATGGCATGGATTTGGAATCCTCGTGATTCCTTTCTGGATCGGCTTCCTCATACTTTTGGACTTTCTCTTGCAAAAACCTTATGTATTCAATAACCTGCAAACAAAATGCTTCACAAGGGAGAAATTGCAATATAGCCTGCTGACTACAGTGCCAAAATTGATATTCTGTTTACCTCCGAAAGGAAAGAAGCTTTGTCTCTCTTCTGATCAGTGTGTGGCAGGAGTTCACGAAGTATTTCAAGCCTGAAGGAGAGCATGAAGAATTGCATTTTAGAACACATTTCTTGCACCATATACTTATATGAAATTGTCTTGGAATTAAATGCTGCTAATATGATATCTTGTTGAGCTATCTAGCTACGTCTTCATGGTTGGTTTGTTCCTGCTCTGCAGAAAATAATTCAAAATGGTGTTTGACCTCTACTAGCTTGCCTGTCATTTATCTTGGTCCTCCTTCTCTGCTCAGTTGCTGAATGCTTTGATCTCGGAGTGCTGGGTCCCTGATCGGCGCTGCTGGCGCTACTTCTTCCCTCTGCTCTTGTTGCTGAGTGCACATGTATATATCAAATCCATCAGTGCCTGAATTGAAGTGACAGACTAGAGAATCAACAATACAACTGCGGTACTAACCTTCATATGGTGTCTGGCCTATGGATCTTTGATCAATGGCAGAATCTTGCCACATCGTCGACGGCGCACGGTGAGCCCTACTCCCAGATCTTCCTCCTGTTTCATGTGCATTCTCCATCCTGGCGCCATGAAGCGCAGGTGCAAATGCGAACGCACTCCTCCTGACGCCGCCATGGCTACCGGCCTCTTCTCTCGACGGAGTACCGGACGCGTGCCTGATGCTGAACGTCCCGACGCCGCCCGGTAGCACGTGCTCCTCCGAGTCCGAACCTGCCGGCGACGCGCCGTCGACGGCACTCCCCGCCGCCGTGCCATTGCCGCTGCTGCGGCCGCGCTGCTTGGCCAGGTCCAGTGGCCTCAGTGATCTGCGGATCTCCATACCGTATCCTGCACTTGACATGGGTAACATGGGTTAGCAAGTTGGTGCATTGCTGTCTAACTTGCACACCATGGCACTTGCAGTTGAGAAGGCAAAGGAGAGGGCGGTGCAGACAGCTCACCTCGCGATGAATGGCTGGAATGCTGCTCCTCCCGGTGCTGGAACGGCGGCGACGACGAGCCGCCGCCGGCGCGGAGCGAGAGGAAGTCATGAGCCGGCTCCTCTCCTGCGAATCACCGACAAGCACAACACAACACACGGCAATGTACCATGAGCTGATGAGCATCATGCGGTGAAGAGAGAAGACGCTGTGGAATTGGAGGAAGGAAGGAAAGGACACTAGGGTGAAGTGTAATTCTCTTTGATACCTTGGAAAAGCTGCATTGGCGCCCGGGACACAGGACACTGGAGATCTGTCGACGCTGCTGCCAAGCCGAGCGGCCTGCCGTTGCAGCAGAAAGATGGCGCCTGGATCTTGCCGCTGGGCAGTACACTGATGGAATGTAGCGAATTCGGTTGTCCACTCGGACCTTATTATAGTCGGCTAAGAGAGAGTCGAGAAGGATAGGAGACTGATAATGATATAACAAATAAGCTAGGGAGGTAAGCCCTGCTGCCTGCCGCCTCCCTGCCTGTCTGGCTGGTAGTATTATACTTTGTACCTTTGATATAACAAACGTTTCATGGTTAGATTATACTCTCTCACATCCACGTCTCCCTTTGCATCATCATACTATACAGGGAGTGGATTCTAATCCCTCGAGGGGATATCCCCCGTATACCTTTTTCTTTCAAATTTGATGCAAATAGTTGCAAAAAATTCTAAAAAAAAAATGACAATATAGAGTATAATGATGCCTACAAGTCCACCAAAATTCATGTTCAAATTCGATCTACACATCGAGAAACAAAAAAGACAAATTTAGATATAAACAGTACGCTACTATTCATAGGCTGAATTTGTCTTTTTTATATCTCGACGTGTGAGTTGAGTTTGGACTTAAGATTTAGTTGAGTTGCATATATGTGTTGTATGGATGTTGTCAAATTTTTCCAGAATTTTTCATAACCGTTTAGATGGTTTTTAAGCAAACAAGAGAACATCCCCTCGAGAAATTAGAATAGTTTCCCGGCAGATGCGAAAGCATTGCATGTCACCTGCAGAAGTTTCATAATATAAGATAGGGGTAGTTGTTTAGTTAAAGCTACATATGTACGTCGGCAAAGTAATTAAGTATTGCGCACGGTAGTTTTGATCGATATATCTGTGATGGCCAACCTTTTGATGACCGACGAGACAGCAAAGCTACCGATCGGTTACCGCTAATTGCGGGACAGCGGATACATCAACTTTTAACCGAGGAGAGCAAATGCCAACTTCGGATAAACGAGGCAGCAGGTAGAAGCGAAAGAAGGAAAAGGAGAGGCTACTTAGCTAGCTATAAGCAGCTCACGTGCTCCGCCGGTGGCGCGAGGCGGTGTTGCGGGGTGGGGGCCTCGCGCTTTCCTGCCGTTTCCACCCCCGCCCTTTGCGCGCGCATGCACGCCGACGGCGGCGCACGCGACACCTGGCCTTCTGCCCTTCCCGAGCAGTTTGCTAGCTACGCTTGCCTCGCCGCCGCCACGCGCGCGCGCGCCACCGGCAGGCAGTGGCACGGACTCATGCCGCGGGTGCATTTCCAGCGCCGCCGCACCCAGCGCCAGCGGACGGGGGCCGCCTTTACAGCCTCCAACCGAAGGCGCGCGCGCGTCGAATCGATCGATCGATCTACCGTGCGCGACATGCCACGCGCTCGCCGAAACGGACGGGAGATCGATCGGGATCCCGGCCCGCGCGCGCGACCACCGGGCGTTGTGTTGCTGCGTTCGTGGACCGGTGCACGGGGCACGGCCATGTCACACTCACCCGTAATTGCCTGGATCGATTGGTCGCGCGTAGTACGTGCCGTGGTGCACGTGCCCCGCGGTGTGTGGGGATGCGTCTACGATCTACGTGGATGGACCCCGTGTCCCCGTCGGTACGCGACCGATCGATCGATCGGTCGATGCGTGGGGCGGTGCATGAACCCGACGACGCGGCTAGCTCGAAAGCGAAACACGTACGGCGAATTGGCGAGACTGTCAAATCATCTGTGTGGCAAATCTGAGCCGGGAAGTGAGAGTGACCGGCGTTGCAGGTTAGGGTTCTCGTGAACCGACTCGGCGTGAGCATCCGACAATTAGGATTTGAAATTGATTAGGAGATAGAAGAAGAGCTTTAGCTTAAGCTCTCAAAGTCGTTGCGCCCAAAAAACGACAAGGAGCATGTGTCCCGCATAACCCACGAAGCTTCGTGGCCGTTTCGCTCCGAGACATAAGAAAACGTCCAAGGGCTAATGGCGAGTAGTTACCTTGTGCATGCCGGCCGGATTAGTAGTTCTTTAGATTAGATCGATCCCGATCGAAATGATTTGATCCCATCATTGACAGCGCAGGCAGGCAGTGCGTGATCGGTGGACGTGCCTCTCCTGTCCTCTCCTCTGTTCTGCTCTGATCAGAACATTCCCTCTGCAGAACTGCAAAGCTGAGGAATCCGTTTAGGGATCAGTAAACAACTCCGGCCCGCGATTAAATTAACTCCCGATTAAGATATCCTCCCGCAGTGCTCGATCGTCACTCAGATCTGAGAGCATCGATCACGTGGCCAACGCATCGATCCAACGCCATAGCCACCGCCAAGTTATTACCATGCTGCTACAGTGCCAGTACAGTACGTCGCACCTGCTCTGTTCGCTGCATCATGTCTCTGCAGTAACAAAATTACAAAGCGGAGTAACAGGTATCAGCAGTAGCTGGCTTAGCTAAGGCCGAGAGCCCGAGATGGAGGAGCACGTTGAGGATTTGGGCAGCGTTTGCCTTTTCGGTTGGATTATGAAACATGGATCTGTTTTTTAGGGGAGAAGCATGTGAGTTTGGGGCTTTCGGGGTGAGTTGTCGCCTTCATGGCCAAGGGTGCCGGCACGTGAGGCACCGGGAATTGAAAGGCCTTGGCCGCCCCTATCATTTTTCATAGATTTACACTTGGCCTCTCATGCAGGGTAGTTCAGATAGACCAACCAGACAATCAAGCTGCTGAAGCAGTTATTGTATTAGGGTAAAAAGGATTCAATAAACAAAACTGTTAGTACGATTCTAGCAGAACTTTATCTTGTGAGCACTGGAGAAGTGTTTGGCAGAAGCCGAAGCCATCTGCCGCGGCGTCGCGCCGTGGTCGCCGGCGGCGGCCGGTCCGTCGTCGTCGCCGTCGTCACCCTCGGCGCGGGAACCCTTGCAGAAACGCGCCAACAAGGACGCCAACGCCGCCAGCCAGGAGATGTCGGGTGATCCGCGTTCCATCACCTCCTACGATTCAGATATAAATTTAGCTGAATTTGATGGTTTTTATCTGTGGCTGTGCAAGGCTGGAGGGTAGTAACTAGTCTGTGAACTGACCAGCAGATTGATTCTGGATGCTTGATTACAATCGCTAGTTACCCGGCTTACAAGCATATGCTCCTTTTTTTATAGCTGAACAATGGAGCACCTGTGCTGAATTTTATGCTGCTCTGCTTGTTCGTCAAAATTCGATCGCGACGTACTACCAGTAGTATTACATTTCCAATTGGTTAGCTTGGTGACTATTCTTCCTTGACAAGCACAAAAGTATACTCCGATGGTGCAGTGCATAACTGCATACCGCAATGCAGCTTCCGATGTAACATCTCTCTGAGTCATCAAGGTAAGGCTCCGTTTAGTTTTAAAAAGTTTTTCCCAAAAACATCACATCGAATATTTGGATACATACATGGATCATTAAATGTAGATTAAAAGAAAAACTAATTGCACGGTTAGGGAGTAAATCGTGAGACGAATCTTTTGAGCCTAATTAGTCCATGATTAGCTATAAGTGCTACAGTAACCCACATGTGCTAATAGCGGATTAATTAGGCTCAAAAGATTCGTCTCGCGGTTTCCAAGCGAGTTATGAAATTAGTTTTTTCATTCGTGTCCAAAAACCCCTTCCGACATCCGGTCAAACGTCCAATGTGACACTCAAAAAATTTCATTTCGCGAACTAAACAGGCCCTAAAGTCTTGCAACACACATGTGACGTGACTGAGTGGACTGGAATAACGGACAGTGACCCGACGTTTTTGGAGATCCTTGGAGAACAAGGTGTTGAAAGTCATCAAAATTTAGGTTGTGTTTTTTTTTGAGAGGTTGAAAACTTCTTCCCTACACAAGTAAAACTGATCGATGGATTAACACATGATTAATCAAGTATTATTTATTAAAAGCCTTAAAAATGGATTAATATGACTTTTAAAATAACTTTCTTATAGAAACTTCTTTTTAAAAAAATTATAATGTGCGTATAAAAAACAAGGGAGATGAGTTTGCGAACTGAAGACAATTTTATTGGAGTTGGCGAAGTTCACCCCTCACCTCATCGGCACAATACAATGCGTTAACAAATACTACCTCCATTGAAAAAAAAACTCAATCTAGTGTGTGTGTATATATGTGTGTGTGTATATATATGAGTTAGGGGCAACTTTCTAAAGGTCTAGTGAATACCTCTACGTGACGGCTGCATTCAATATCTGAGACGTTCATAAAGCAATCTGTCGAAACATGAATTCGGCAATAATAAAACGGGGTAGCGCACGAGACCTAAAAGTGGATGGATGTGGAGACAAAGGATTTAGACAGGTTCAGGCCCTCTCAATGAGAGGTAATACCCTACTCCTGTTTGGGGATTTGAATCCGCCGAGTGTGTATTGATCTGACGATCAGGTTGTCTCATGCCCCCTAGAGGGCCTCCTGCCCACCTTATATAGGGTGGGGGGCAGGATTACAAGATAGAAACCTTAACCAATACGGTATCGGTTTCCTAAATCTACTTTACAATATTATCAAACCAGGACTTTAGGCTGTTCCGTAATATATAAGGAAACGTAATGTCACGCCCTGAAGTTTTCCCCCCTTTGCTTGCTTTAAAAAAATTGGCTAAATAAATCGTCCGAAGAAATTATCTTAATTAACCTAGAGCTAATTCCCTAATTAATAAATGCAAATAATAATCGGAATCGGCATGTGGAATTTTTCTTGGATTCTACATGTCACAATATATTAACAGGATTTTTAGTGGAATTTTCAGAGCCTTGGAAATAATTTTAACCAATTAAAAATCACCAAAGTGCAATTTTTAATCCCAGGAAAAATCCTTTCTTCTTTTTCCTTTTCTTTTCCTTCTTTTTTTTCTCTATTGGGCCGTCGGCCCACTCCCTCCCGCGCTCGGCCTCTTTTCCTTTGGGCCGGCCCGTTCCCCTTTCCCCTCCCCGAAGTCCTCCCTCCCTCCCTCTCTCCTTCGGGCGCCGACAGGTGGGGCCCACCTGTCGGTCGTCTTCCTCCTCTAGCCGGTTGGAGCCGAGCCCCAACCGCCGGCGCCCCACCTCCCCACGCCGCCCGCCTTCTCCGTCCCTCTCCGCGCCCGCACCTCGCGCCCACGTCGCCGCTCTCCCCCCCCCACATCTCCCGCGCGCGCGCGCCCGCAAGTGGTGGGGGATTTGAATCCCCCTCTCTCTCTCTCTCTTCCTCCCCATTCCCCCACATCGCCGGCCAAATCGGCCACCTCCCCGGCCACGTCCGCCCCCTCCCGCACCTATAAATCGCTCCCCGCGTCTTCCTCTCTCGTTTTTCGCACTCGCCGCGCTCTCCCGTGCCGTCTACCGCCCTCGCGCCGTCGCACCCGAGCTCCGCCGCTTGCCGCCGCCTTCGGCCGCGAGCCACCGCCGCTAGAGTCGCCGCCGCGCCAAACCGCCGCCGCCGTTAGCTTCGCCGCTGCAAGAGCTTTCCCGGCCGCCGCCTCGCGTCGCCGGAATCCCACCGGAGCACCTCTCCCCTCGCGAGCCGGTGAGTTTTCCCTCCCCTCCATCTCCGGCCGGCAATTCAAGCCGCCGTGGTCGTCGTCTCCTCTCCTAACGCCTCTCCATCTTCTCCTAGGGTGTCGCCGCCGCCCGTCCGTGCCTCCGCATCACCGGTCGTCGCCGCCGCTTTCTTCCTTCGCGCCGGCCGCCGTGCTCGAAGGTGAGGAATCCCCTCTCCTCCTTCCTTTCCTCTCTCTCCCATGAGCGCCGCCGCCCTCCGCGCGTGCGCCGTCGTCTTCGGCTGCCGCCGCCGCCTTCGCGCCGGCCGCCGCCGTCTCCCCGCGCCGCCGGTCACCGCCGGTGGTCGTGCGCCGTCGTCGCCTCGCCATGGCCGGCCGGCTTGAGCCGTGCCGAGCATGCCGCCGCCCACTCCCTCCCCCTTGAGCCACTGCCAGTGGGGCCCGCTTGCCAGCCACGCCCCTCTCCCGCCCTGTGCCGCTGCCCGGTGGGGCCCACCAGCCGGTGGACCACCCCTCCCCCTCCCCTTGTGCCGCTGCCAGTGGGGCCCGCTTGCCAGCCGCCCCCTTTCCCTCTCTTAGTGCCGCTGACCAGTGGGGCCCGCATGTCGGCGCCACCCCCTCCCCTCGCTGACGTCAGCCCTGGGCTTTATTGCGCAATAAATTGATTAAGGACTTTTCTTTATTAGTAAAAACACAGTTTATCTTCTAAAATTCATAAGTAATTCATCCGAGCTCCGTTTAAGTCCATTCAAGTCTCAGTAAATCAAGAAAAATGCAAAGAATCCATTAAAAATGGTTTTGTTCCCTGTTTCAGTAGTCTTATAGCCTGTTTTGCTTGTGTGCTTTGTTTGTCGCGTAGATTTCGGCCGTTTCGTCGATCCACGGTTTCTCGAAGACGTTGCTGAGGTCTCGTCAGTGCGAGAGCAAGGCAAGTCATGCAATACGTTTGATCATATTGTACCCAATTTACAAATATCCCGCATTTCTATTAAATGTTGCATTCTTTTACAATATCATGTGGGATGGGTCCTACTACTCAGCCATATATTGTTTACCTTATGCCATTGATAACTTGGGTATCAAAATGACTAGATGTTGGTTTAGGAAATGCTTAGCCATGCTTAGTTCAACTAGCACACACATGGGGATCACATTATTACATAGACTTTGACTATGAGCATAGCTTTGGATTGGTGCCACCGCAATGGTGTTAGTTAATTAAAATACACTGAATGGTGGGCTGTGGGTGCATGGTTTTGCTGGTCGCACCCATGGCAGTTAAGGACCGGTTCACGGGAAACCCTGGGAGACTTACCGTGCTTACCACAAGCGGGAGTGGGTAACTGCTTGATCTGAAGTATAGCTCGACCCTTTCCTAGGCACCGGTGGCGAGGGTGGGCGTGATGGAGTTGGGTCGGCCGGGGTGTCCGGTTGTCCAGCTGCCGGATTCACCGCGGCGCAAGAGGGGACCGCCCACTGCCTTTTGAGGGGTGGGGGTGAAACCTTAGCGTGGTGTGGATGGTTAGGGGAGGGTTATGTGGAGGGTCTTGTCACGATTTCCCCCTTTGCAGTATCATGGTGATACTTCGGGGCATGGCGACATGTGTGGAATCGTGTCTTGTGGGTACAGTTGTACACCTCTGGCCAGAGTAAAACTATTCGAATAGCCGTGCCCGCGGTTATGGGCGATCAACCAGATTCACCGTGATTAGTCTCACCCCTAGTTTAGCTTAATGAATTGGTGTAGTTCAGGTGGTTGGTTGGGCCTGTTGCAACGTGGTGTAGCGTTGGACAGTGATTGGTTAATATTGATTAATTACTACAGCTGTTTTACTGCTTTCAACTACTGCTTTTAAATGCTAGCCTTATGCAAAAGAACTTCTAGCCTCCTTTGGTTATATCCTGCATCATACCTCCTCTTCCGGTATGACTTGCTGAGTACAGTGGGTAGTACTCAGTCTTGCTCTCTTTTCCCCCACACCAGAGCTGAAGATCTTCCTAGTTGGAGCTGTTTTGTCAAAGTTGGTTTCGTCGCTGCCGTCAAGGATTGCCTGTGGAGTGGAGTCGCCCGCTGCTGAAGTCAAGCTTCCCGGTTTAGCTCGCTTTTATTCTTTTCCGCTGCATTTGTAATCTTTTCTATTTTTGTAAGACGTGGATCTGTATGTCAACAATTGTCGTTTGTGTACCCTGGCTGGTCCTGGACAGGGATTTAATGCACATTCAGCTTAGAAATTCTGGTTTGAGAATTTCTGGGCGTGACAAGTTGGTATCAGAGCCGACCTTGACCGTAGGACAAGCCAACTGGAAACCCTAAGAGCCCTCTGAACCCCTTTTTCATCTGCATATGCCTTTTTGCACCTGGAATTATTTTGGGAAAATTTAGAGTTTTGCCTCTTTGGCTTGTGGGAAAAATCTTGGTCGTTCATTCGGATCGGATTTTTAAAAATTAGCTCAGTGTAGGGTTTTAGAAAAAAAACAAAATCTAGTTGGAGTTTATTCGACAGTCAGTCGGGAATCTATTGGGGGTTATGCATTAGGTCGTGTCTATGTTCGATGGGGCAATGTTGCGCATCATTTTCCATGCAACTAGTCTATGTATTAATTTATTGTTTAGTTGCATTAGTGTCTTTATTTGAGTTCATGAAAAATGTTCTATGCATAAAAACCATCATGCTCGGTTATTTATCTGAGTCTTCTTTTGCTTTGTTTAATTT